CGGGAGAGGCAGGAATTTACGGCCTTTGTTGTCTTTGGGAGGCAGAGCCATCTTGGGGATGCCCTTCTGACTGTGGTCTGCACCTTTCAAAAACAAATTACAGAATACTAAGAATCTAATTTTGCACAACTTTTAACAAACTAAAAAATGTGGACACGGTTACAAGAAAACACAATTTATCAAAATAGATCCCGGAAGAGACCAAATCTAAGCAAGCCATTACTATAAAAGAACTAGAGAATTTTATCAAAGAACTGTCCTTCCTGTCACTCCCACTTCTACCTTCACCTTCACCCCCAAAAGCTACAAAAGCCCACCTTGCCTTGCAGGAAAATTCCATACAAGTGGCAAAGAGTAGTTGACTCTAATGTTATTATTCAGAGCACAAAAAAAGATGGAAGTATTCCAACACACAGTAGTCCAATTTCACTTATAAATATTGATTTAAAATGCTAAATAAAACATTATCTAAAGTATTCAGTAGCATATGAAAAGAATAACATACTATGTGTAAGTAAAGTTTATTCCAGAAATGTGAGAATGATTCAACATTAAGAATTCAATTAGTACAATTAATCCTATTAATTGTTTAAAAGAGAAGAAAATCTTATGTTCACAGATGCTTAGCAGATCTTTAACAAAAATCCAACATTCTAGATTTTAAAACTCACTAATTCAAGAAGTGGTGTTAGGAGCAGTAATTAGCCCTTTGGAAAAAAAAAATGGTATAGTTCCGTAGTGCTTTTCACCTAACACTAAAATAAGTTCCAAATAGATGAAAGTTTAAATATAAAACATGAAAACACAAAAGTACAGAAGACATTATGGGAGATCATAGAGCAAGGATGGTTTTTCTAATTGCAGCACAATACTCAGAAGTGATAATGGGGGGAAAATGATAACTTTACTAAAAAATTTTTTCCTTCAATAACTTTATTTTTTATAAAGTATATAAATGAATAAAACAATTCAACTTTTAAAAGCCTCACTGCATGCGGGAAGGTATTACTATCACCATTTTAAATTACTGCATTATGTTAATTTACTGTGCCTTTGTCTTCCAATTCTAGTGGCAAAGAAAAAACTGAATAGAAATTAAGTTGGACTGTGACATCGTTGCCAAGAATAGATACATAAAGAAACAAAGTCATTTCCAAACAAGGGCCCCGAAAAAATGGCTGAAGAGTCTAGAGTTTTGCACCCTGGCCACATCTTTTCCTGAGGAGGTGTTCCATCAGCCAAGCTGAGGAGCCACAATCTTTATTACTAAGATAAAAAAGAAAAATATTTTTAAAGTCTGTGCAGCAAAACATACATATAAAAGACAAATAGCAAATTGGAAATAATTTTGCAACTCTTATCACAGACGATTACATTATATATATAAAGAACTATAAATCAATAAGAAAAGAGTCCTATAGTAGAAGAGAAAATGGTCAAAGAACTTGCAAAGTTCACAGAATAGAAAATTTAAGTAATATAGATGTCACTTAACCTCATACTAATGAGAGAAATACCAATTAAAACTACGGTGATATATCATACTTCACCTATCATATTAACAAATGTCAAAAAGTTGAGCACACTGTAAGTAGTTTAGACTTACATTTTGGTGGGCTAAAGATAGAACTAGGGATGTTTCATGTTGGGAGCCGGCCGTGGAGGCCCGCCTGAGCGTTAGGGATCCAGGTAGGCTGTGGACCCTGAGACCAACAGGTTGGGTTCAGGAGCTGAAGGCCCATTCCCTCCTCCCTTCTTTGTTGTTTGGCATAACCCACTAGCAGGGACTTTGATGATCTAAGCATGAAGTTCTGAGAGTATGACAGGCATGGCTGACTCTAGGGATTCATTGTTCCCGTTTCTCACAGACTGCGGTTTCGGCTTTAAACTTAACACAGTTCAAACTTGGGTCACATTTGGGAGCCTTATATATGATACAAGCTTCTTTATAAGATTTAAAAGTATATCTGTAGAATTAGTATATACATTTAGAGAGTTGTTTCCAGCTTTAGATGGTATAGATGATTATCTAGAGTTACCAGAAATGGCCCAGCACGAACTTTGAGCTGAGCCACATTCTTAAGGGCCCAGCATCCACTTTGGACTGGGCTGCATTCTTTTAAACCGGTTTTTTAGTTACAATTAGTGTAGGTTTTTTCTACTTATTATAGAAGCCGAATTTATTTATTCATAGAAAGTATTATAGAATAGGTCATGCTACATCAGGGAATTATGTTAGTTCAAGCATGATCAAACATGATACTTTGAGGTTTTATAAGAATACAGCTAACTTTAGAAATTTAATTGATCCCACTTTCTACTAATTGCAGTTTTGACTTTAGTACAATTATAGTTTGTATTTGGGTTTTATTTTAGAAGCTTTATTGCTGATGATCAGCTTTATATATTAGGATTAGGAATTAGAAACTTTTATAGATACATAGGATTTTAGAATAGCCATTTTGTTAAGAAATCATAATCAAT